TTATATTAATATAAAATTATATTATTAATTATTTTTTATTTATATTTTTTTATATTTTTATATTTATTTTATAATTTATTTTATATAAATTTATAATTATTTTAAAAAAATATTTTTATAATTAAAAATTTTAATATTATTAATTAATATATTTTAATATATATTAATTTTTTTTTAATATATTATTATATTAATTTATTATTAATTTATTATTTATTAATAATAAAAATAAACCGATAATTAAATTATTTAAAATTTATAATATATAAAAAATTTTTTAATTATATATATTATAATAAAATAAAATTATTTATTATTTTTTTATTTTTTTTTTAAAATATTAAATTAATATTAATTTAATAATTTAAAAAAGTTATAAATTTTTTTAAATATTAAATTATATAATAAATAATTAAATTTAATTATTAATTATAATTAATTTATTTTTATTTTAATATAAAAATAATTTTTTATAATAAAATAAAATTATTTATTATTTTTTTTATTTTATTATATAAATATATTAATAAAATAATAAATAATTTTATATATTTTTATTTTTTTATTATTAATAAATAATTAAAATTTTATTTTATTAAAAAATAAAAAATAATAAAATTAATAATAATTATAAAATTTAAATTTATATATTTTTTAAAATAAATTAAATATTAAATTATTATATTAAATTATTAATTTAATAAAATTATTAAAAATTTAATAAATAAAATTAAAAAAATTAAATTATAAAAATTTAAAATTTTATTATAATTTTATATTTATAAATATAATTTTTTAAATATTAATATTATTATTAATATAATAATAATATTATAATATTAAAATAAAAAATAAATATAATTTATATTAAATATTTTTATATATAAAAATTTTTTTTTTATTATATAATTATAAATATTTTAATAATTTTATTTTAATTATTTAATTATATATTTTTAATATATAATAAATAATTTTTTTATAAAAATATTTTTTTTAAATATTTATATAATAATAAATAAAAATAATATATTTATAAATTATTATTATTTTATTAATTATAATTATATATTAATATATAAAATAATTAATTATTAAAAATTTAATAATTTAAATTATTAAAAATTATAAAATATATTAAAATTATTAAAAATTTATAATTAAAATAAAATAAAATTTTTATATATAAATTTAAAATTAATTTATAATTATTAATTTATAAATAAAACTTTTTATTAAAAATTTAATTATAATTTAATTATTTAAATTATTAATAATTAAAAAATTTATTAAAATTATTAAAAATTTTATAATTTAAATAAAAAATATTTATATATATAAATTTAAAACTTATTTATAATTATTAATTTATAAATAAAATTTTTTATATTATAATAAAATTTTTTTTTATATTTTTATAATTTATATTATAATATTTTTTATATTATAATATAATTTTTTTTTATAATTTTAATATTTATATTATAATATTAATTATTTTTAAAATTTTAAAAAAAAAATATATATTTATTTTAATAATTTTATTATTTATTATTTAATTTATTATTATATTTTATTTATTTTATTAAAAATTTAATAATAAATAAATAAAAAAAAATTATTAAAAATTAAATTAATAAAATAAAAAATATTTATTTATATAAATTTAAAATTTATTTATAATTATTAATTTATTAATAAAATTTATTATATTAAAATATAATTTTTTAAAATATTTTTATATTTATATTATAATATATTTATTAATTTTTATTTTATATTAAAAATTTAATAATTTAAATTATTAAAAATTAAAAAATTTATATAATATTAAATTTATTAAAAATTTTATAATTAAAATAAAAAAAATATATATATATAAATATAAAATATATTAATTATTATTAATTTATATAATATAATTTTTTTTTATATTTTTAAAATTTATATTATAATATTTTATATTAAATATATTTATTTAATATTAAAAATTATTATTATTTTAAAATATAAATTAATAATTTAAATAAAATTAAACTTATATATTAATAATATATTTAATATAATATTATTTTATTATAATTTATTATATTATATAAAATAAATAAATAAAATAAATAAATAAATAAATAAAAAAATATAAATTCCTTAACTACTTAATATGAAAATAAGTGGGTCGGAGGGGGGGTTTTATCGTTTTGGCGGATTAAGTTATATGGCTCATTCTACTCCGAGACTCTGTAGGGCTGAGCCGCACCTCAAGATACGGAACCCGGTTATTCCCGGATTCAACCCCTTACATGTCAACTTCAGCTGAACTTACTCATGCTGTATGGCTGATGTGTTCTGTGCCAATTCCAGTCATCTCATCATGAGCGAAGTTAAAGTGATTATTATCGATATTACCCAACCCATTCAAATACCTAGGTTAACAGCAACTCAACCACTCGTGTCAGCTTTCTAGGGTTGTTACTCAACAATTTTCTCCCAGAAACACCAACTCCAAGTCAGAGAGACTGCGATCTATTTCATATTCATAGCATACATGTCTCTTACCGAGTGGAAACAATGACTGGAGAGGTGTATATCATACTCTTCCCTTTTCTCTTTTCTACTTCGCGCATCTTTATTTCCTATCGTCTCCCAGTTCAGAACATTAATTACAATAATACTCTTGATTTTTCTCACGGAATAATCCGTGATACTGATAGAGTTATCAAGTTTTCCAGTTTTAATATGCAGTTCTCTGGGGCTATGTCAATCGTAGCGGAATGAGCTTCTGCATGATTGCATTTCGAAGTCACAGTGGTTTACCCGAGGCGTGGACTGAGGGCAGTCCTCCACAATTGCCTCTTAACACTAAATACTGCCGTGCATCTTTTCACCTATTCCAAGGCCACTCCTGTCAGGTTCGGACATGATTGCTTTATTATCTTACTCAATAGTAAATTACGTCTACGAAGATGTAGTATGCTCCGATCTGACTTGTTGAGTTGCTGAATGCGTAGTGCCAGTATGATTCACTTAGCCAATGTTTTAGCAGTGTATCTCTCATATCTGATCCGAGGGTTTTAATTCATTTTCATCTGCCCATTCCATCTTTATTGGCGTGTAGATTTTCTAGGTCTGGGATTTACACGTTCGCTACTACATAGATAGTGGAAGTTGCTAATTTTAAACTTGGAAATAGATTCATCAATAGAATTTCTTGGCGATTCGATATCTAGAAAGCATCACGTGGCTATGTACAATTCGTGTTGTTATCTTTCTATTTACTGGCCCTATAATAGTTCATGGAATGACTACCGGCTCAGCCTGTCCGGTTCGAGCCCGGCAATCTTCAAGGGATCGCGGCTAAATTTGACCTGCACCAAGAGAGACATGCTCTCCACGCTCCGAAACGCTGCAAACTGGAGTACCGTGTATACACTTCGTTTACGAGTACCACAACACTTTAAGCCGGAAATATAGACCCCAATGGGGCGGTCCACGGCAACGTTGAGACCCCTCATTTTACGGCTTTGCCTTATACAAAATGATGCCGCATCCTCAAAGCTTGAGTTCTCTGTTTCCCTCTCTCGTATATCACTAAACAAGCTGAGTTCGAAAACCAACCATGATTTACTCGGTTCTGTTGGCATTCGCAGGCCTTGCTTCACAGGCCTCAGCGGCATGCAGCCGAGATGCACTAAAGGCGGCCACGGAGACATACCTCAAAGCACAAGCTGCTGGAGACCTGAGTATATCTTCATTGGCAGCCAACAATGTTAGCTACGTGGAGAATGACGCACCCATGGATATGACGAAAGGTGTCCTGAGCCAGGCCGTCACTATCGACTTCAACCGCAGCCTCCACGACACCACCGGATGCGCTACATTCACAGAGATATCGGCTGCCACAAACGCGCACCCGTATGTAATTGCCACGCGGATGCTGTTCACCGACGATAAGATCACGGCCATCCAATCGGTTGTCGCAGACGACGGCGACTGGGCATTCAATGCGACGGGGCAGCTTTACTGGAACAAGCAGGAAAAGTGGGATGTTATCCCGGAGGACAAACGAGACAGCCGTGAGGTTATCCAGGCTGCCGGTGATGCCTACCTTGACAGCTGGGGTGACGGCAAGGTCCCAGTCCCGTACGGAACCCCTTGCGCTCGTCTCGAGGGCGGGTCGTACACCGACACCAGAAATTCCGGTGCAAACACTTGTACAAGTATGTATTCAAGAGTCAAGTCTGCCTAATCGAGATCGTATAAGAATTAGGAGTTGTCTCCTTAAGGATGTTTCAACTGTAAAACTCTTACCGAACGGAGTAATTGCTGACATTGTTCTTGCAGTGCCCGAGTTCCCGCAGCCGTTTAAGATTGAGAACCGTCGCTACGTCATCGACGAGGAGGTGGGCGGGCTCGATATCTTCAACGACTTCCCATTTATCGACAAATCAAAACCCAACGGCACATCCAGTACCAACTTCTTTCGAGTCGAGGGAGGGAAGATCCGTTATATCCATGAGACTACTATCTGCACAACTCGTAACTGTGGGCTTTGAGGGTGGTTTGTCTTGCATTGAAGAAGGGTCTGCAAACATGGATAAATATAAAACATTAGTTTTTCGAATTTCCCTTTGCTAGATAGCTTATTCGGCATCATATGTCCTTCAATTTCTATGTCGCAGACTGCTTAATTGTGCAACCCCGTGCCGTATATTAAATACTATAAACCCCCTAAAGTCTATTGTGAAAGTACAGTGTTCATCGGTTCCGGAGTGTGGCAATGGTATATTATTTCATGGCAAAGGTGAAGGTGAACTAGAGCCATTACACCCAATCTTACCTCGTTATGTCTGCCCCCAATGGTGGACACTGGCGTGATGATATTATCTCGTAAAAAGAAAGTGTAACGTGCAAGTCAAAAGCTATAAAGGTGTTTTTCTTATGTAGAAAAAACTGAAACTAAAGGAATATACTTTATAGAGAAAAATGAAAATAAAAAAAGATTCCGGCACGGGGAGTCGAACCCCGGGCTCGGGAATGAGAATCCCGAATGTTAACCGCTACACCATGCCGGATATACGTAATTAGTAAGTTAATGACCGCCGAGTTATCTCATAGGATATGTCTTGCCGTAGGTGGGATGGAAGAGCCAGCTGTTCCTGCCAGTTCCAACGTAAACAGTAGTAGTGACGTCTGCAGTTACCTCTTGTAGCCCCTCCCAGTTACATGTAGGTAGCTACCCGACTTACACATAAGCAATTTTAACTATAAAAAAATTGCGCTAGGGGCAGGTGTACAGATATACTTAGGTATGTATCTTGTATGACCCAGGGTCTATAGAACCGAAGGTATAATCGGAATTCATTTGGTGGTAGTGTGTTTGCTACATCTATACTACAATTATTACAGGCAAACTTTACCTCCAATATGCATAAACATTTCATATGAAGTTTTATACCAGAGGGAGTTAGCAAAATTCCAGATCTTAGAAGTGTGTCCCAACTTAACTTCTGGTAGCCTCTAGCCTAATACACAGCTACTGCAAGAAACAGAAATACATAATAATAGTACTATACCTAAGTGATTTCTCAAGATTATTTTAAACTTATAAGATAATCATCCTACCATTTCTAAAATTTCTAAAATTTCTTGGGGTCATCTCGGACTTGTGTGTACCTATTTATGTTGTCGTCCTAGAAGCTCAATCTGGAGCATTAATGAATCATAGGGGGTGGAAATCATTTACAACCTGAGCTCTCAAAAATACATGTACGTACCTAAATACATACATGACCAAAGGTACATATAATAGGTAGGAAGGTGCCCGTACAGTGTGGAGTGGAAACAAGAAGGCACTAGCCATGATCTAGTCTGCGTTGAATGTGGCTCTTACTATAGGGGTTGCTCTGCAACCCAAGCGGATTTCTTTCATTGGCCAGAGTTGGTTAGTAGATAGATTCGACACCTTAGGTGCCTTACTCTACGTACCTCATGTTGTAAATTCATATAATCCGGGTCCTCCTTCCACCTAAAATACTTTTCCTCACTCTTCCATTTTGTGTCAACAAACACATTAGTTGTGAACATAAACCTCCTACACTACTACTATCATACTTTGTCATCGTCATTCATACATGACCTTCGATCATCATGCATCCCCATTGAGCATAGTACGCCTCCAAGCTTGAACATGTTAGTTGTCCTCATCCCCACCTAACTATATCACCAATCCCATTCAACCCATATTGACATCCCCCTGTACTTACATCGCTAAACTAATACACAATTTGGCAGGGATAACAATATGCCTAATCCTGATTGCATTCATTGCTTTCGCAGCTACAAGTAAATACGAACATCAACACCAGTCACCACAGTAGCACTAACGCGTCTAGTTACCTGGCACTTTGCTGTTGCTTTCTAGTAAAAAACGTTGACACTATCGCTTTCAATCACTCAATTTCGACGCGATAATTTCCAAATTTTACACTTAGTCCATCCATACACGGTTTCCATACACTGTTTACACTCACAGAAATGGATCACCCGTGGTAAAACTTGGTCAAGGCTTCCACAGTCCGCCATGCCATCTTGGTTACTATCCGAGGCCTCAGCAACAGGAAAACCACAAAACAAAAGAAAAAAACATTAGCTGACTCGATCAATAATGGTAAGCATTTCTCTTTCTCTCTAAATGCTAGTTGCCTCCTTCACTTATGGGCTAACACTCCTCCCCCATTCCCTAGTCACCATAAAGTCTCCTGCACCAACTCCAGTGTCACTTGTTATTGCGACAGCGGGCAGCTCTCATTCACGCAACGGCAGCAGTCCATTGATCTCATGAGAACATCTGGTACTGTGAAGCCACCTTGGACGTTCAAGTAAATGTTTACAAGCTTGCACTATGCAGAACTCCAGCGTCACTTGGTGGCTGCAAATGGCTCTTCTGCGCAGCGACTTCACCTCTTGCTTATAAGTCAAGCGTGCCCATGGCACTGCATATTGCATTGCAAAGTGATTTAATGGACATTGAAAACCTCCAGGGTGGTGGAACATGGAAGGATTGTAAAAGAGTAGATGGTCTGTTTCTGTTGTTGTGATGGGCTCGTCTTGTCATCGTGATGGCTTGTTGGCATCGGGTTGAGGTACGAGACTAAACGATGAAGTTCACTCGCAAATCAGGGCAACAACAAAAAAAAGCTCACAGCTTTCTACTTAATGAAGTATCGAGTCAGCAGGGGACTAGCGACGCTCGAGCGTCTCATGGTATGTTTTATCCTTGACATTACTCTCCTATTCTTAGTAGGTACATATGCTAACCGCTATACAAGTCCTGCCGATCCGCCTCCCTACCACCATTACCAATGAAAGCCTCCTAATGTACCAACCACTTCGAGAAAATGCAATCAGGGGAACGAGCGACAACGTGGCATAAAATGCCTATACTTGAGTACATCACGAGCTTCAAGGAGCGCTAACTCAGTCAAGTGTTATACGAGCGCTATTATACATCAGTACGGCACATCACATCAACACTGCCTACATCGAACACACATAATGTACTGGGTCTCTCTAGCTTATGAAGATCTTGCGCATTACATTCTCTACAACTTCTTCCGTTCCTCTGCATCTTTTCTAGGCCTTATAAAATGTGCTTGTTTGCACTCATTACTTCTATCCGCATGGAATTCGATGCCTACAACATAATCTCTACTACAGTCGAAGGACCTATAAGCGCTCTATCGACTTGTCATCTTATTAATAGAGCTATTTTGGTGCTTATGTTTATATACTTAGGTGCAAGAGCCCGTTGCAGTTTAAATAGCTCGAGATGTAGCAGTAGTGATATTTGAGAGAAAGTAAGCGTTGGACCTAAACAGACACAGGGTTTCACGTTTCGCGTGTCATTTAGTTCAGGCATGTATCCAATACGTCCAGGTCGAGAATTGGTTCCAATATACCTATTTCCCGATGTTTTATCAGTATAGAGAATTTCTCCTATTCATTCATCTGAGCAAATAGCACGGGAAAAGGCAAAGCAGGGAGCACATAGGCAGGCAATCATCACCAAGGAAAACCATATAATAAGACACAAGGAGATGTGTAAGACAGCCATCCACTAGATCGACCACTATTTATACATGTTCCAATACCCAGCAAGCCACGGCCAGATGTCCATCTTCAATAGTACCTAATAATCCTGCCCCACGCAAACGCGCGGACCTCCGATGGCGTTGTCTCGGCTCCGCCTCTTATGGGAAAAATCTCCGAGTCCAATAGCGGCAGGTGCCACAACCATGGTCGTCGAGGGAAGGAGATAGGCTATCTGGCATGGCACAGCCGGACGCAGTATCGCGTGCACAGCATGGCCCCGTCGGAAGCAAGGTGCCTCGCCCTCGGGACCGATGAGGGTTACGGTAGGGTAGGTTGTGCCACGGCTCGGTCCGCTTCTTGTGCGTTACCCGAATTACCTACTTGTATCACATCGCCCTAACCACGCATGGCTTCAATGCACAAAATCACGGAGAAAAGGAGTGTCCCTTAGTCTCTAGCTACCTAGATGATGTAAGACCGCGAAATATCCAATATGGTACACCAATCCGGATATCAGCCAGTCCCGTAGCATCCGCTCGAGACTTTTGTATATATAAATATATATATACACATGTGTTGAAATAATTGGGTATGTGCCTGGAGCCTTTGAGCCCCGTGATACCGTGATATACCGCCCATAACCTATAACACCATCCTCCCCGCAATCTCGTTTATGTATTTCCCCCTGCCCATTAATAAATAACGATATCATACAACTACCTACTCACTTTACTGCCAGGTGGCTGCTTGGGTAGGATCCTGCATCTGTGTCTGGTTCGCGTAGGCGCTCATCTGAGGCCCGTTCGCAATGAACCCGCCGTACTCCTGCATTAGGTAATTCCAGTCCATCTCCCCGCCAAAGTTGTTCACGTCCGGGAAGGCAGTCGCGAACTGCCTATTCATGTCTATCGGCTGCATGTTGGCGAACATGTCGGTGTCCGGATACAAGGGCACGGTCCCTGTTGGCAGAGATTGCTGCTGTTCTGGTGGTGTGTGCACCGCCGGAACATAAGCGCCACTTATGACAGGAATCTTGGGCGAGGGCGTCGGGACAGGTGTCCTCTTCTTGGTGGTCTTGGGTAACCGAGCTGCGATTTGTCTCATGTGAGTGATGAGACGCGGCGGCGCCAACGTGCGCCCAAGCGCCGCTTCAGCTGCCTCGCGTGCATCCCACGCTTTTACGAAGAGCGGGCTAAAGGAAAGATGCATTGGGCTACGCATGTGACTTGTCATCTTCCTCCGGTCAGCGTGCTCGCAGATCGTCTGCCATGCGCGCTCGCACAAGTCACCAGTTGTGCGATGGCGTAGTTCGGTAAGGAGGCAGATGTAAGCTGGAAAGGGAAAATGCATTTGCGTGTACCAGAGGAACCCCTTTAGGTTGTCTCGCGCTTGCATCATGCTATCATATTCAATCATCTTGATCGCTTCAATGAAGAGCTCGTCTCTTTCAGCGACCGGCAAGGGGGCAGGTGCCGTAAGTGCAACACGGAAGAACCCTGCAACTATTTTCTGTTTGCAAATATTTGCCCTAGTCATAAGAAGGGTCATGTAGTGAAGCGGAACCTTCGGGTCGCAGTATTTCAGGTAAGTATCTTCCATGTAAGTAGAAAATCGATCAAGATAACTTGATAACCGGTGGTCGGCAACACTCGCTATTGCTTGTGGGTTCGTTTCCGACGTCTGTCCCCTCATCTTGTCGTTCCCTGGCGCTTTAGCGAACTCCAGGCGTGCAAGAGAAAACATCATCTCAGTTGCGCCAGAGTGTGGGGGAGGCGGATCCTTGGCGTGCAGATGCAGGTCAGCATCGTTGATGTTGAGTGGTAGCTTGCAATTGCCTCCATTGGATATGGCGGTGATGATGGAACCGCAAAGCTCCCCGATACGTCTGTCAAAACCTGCGAGGGTCCACCATAACCGTCGTCTCTCTTCTACTTCAAACGGCGAAAGCTGGAATTGAGCACCGTCACGTTGTAAGCCCATT